CCTCATCTGTGTGTCAGGCAACATTTAATGGTTGAAAGACAGACAGTCCTAAGTCTCAACAATTCTTCACTGGTGCACAAATATGGGGATTAAAATGACAGTTGATTGTGGACCTATTCTATTCTAAGCTCCAAGTTGATCATTTAAAATCAGTTACGATCAACAAGTCACATGATCTTTATTTGGCTTTTATATTTTCCTATAAATATTTCACAACTTTCTCTAGGGTATTTTCTGTTTTTGATGTCGTATACGAAGGTTCTGATTCTTTTTGGAAGGACTATTTGAATAGACTCTTGGTATACAATTTAATTGGTATCTTGCAGACATGTGCAATATTCATACATTGTTTCTTTCTCTCCTTGTAGGTAGAAATAACACTTCAGGATATCAATGACAATCCACCAGTGTTCCCAACCGACATGCTGGATCTCACAGTGAAGGAGAACACTGGAGATGGCTCTAAGATTATGCAACTAACAGCCATGGATGCTGACGAGGTAGTTCAGACACTCTCTCTGAATTTTTGAAACCTAGTATTCCAGTGATCTATCAAATTTCTATTGTATGTTGACAACATTTATTTCCTTATAATTAAGGTTAAGCGTTGTGTGCTCTTTTCCAAAGAAATTAAGTAATTCTTGAAATATGATATAGGAATGCTAAGGTAAAGACTGTCTAGTTGTAATTTTCCTTTGATCAGCAATTAACAGCTCAGTTCATTGCTGGCTACATTTTGGATTTCTTAGCCAAATTATTTTAATTTCTCAAATAGTAAAAAATTCCTACAGAAATATCTTATTTTTTAATGCTAGTATCACTGCCATTTGCTATCTTATAGCATATATAGCTAAGAATTTATTTTTTATTTGTAATTGAAAAAAGAAAATTATTTAAAATTAAAAAAAAAAAAAAAAAAAAAAAAAAGAACTGGTGGGGTGGTAAAACCTGATCCAGAGCTATTTATAGGCTATATTCATCCCACTTCCTATGAATTCAGGCATTTTTTCCTGCAGATTTATTCGATTTAAAAAAAATTTAAAAAAAAAAAAAAAAAAAAAAAGAACTCATCTGGTGGTAAAACCTGATCCAGAGCTATTTATAGGCTATATTCATCCCACTTCCTATGAATTCAGGCATTTTTTCCTGCAGAAATGTTTTATTCGATTAATGGTTTCTTCTCTAGTGTTCACTGAGGGTTTGCCGCCAAATATTCAGGATATTCATTGTATTAACCTTTTAAATAAAAACAAAAACAAAAAACAAACCTTAAATCAAAAACGCATCTGACCCTGAGGGTAGCAGATGAGGGCTTAAGGACTTGTCTGAGCCCCAGCATAAGTGTAATTTAAAAAAATTCACAAATTTTTTTTGTTTGCTTTGTGGCACGGTGTTGACTTTTGGTGCTGTAAATAGAGCCAACTTTGGTTCTAGAAGTTCTGTATTAACATTGCACATTGGCCAATCCAGATTATATCTGACAAATCTCTCCAACGGCCTAGAGATGGAAGCCACCAAGACTGCCCGCATCATTTCCAGATTTAAGGGAAATATTCACTATCACTCGGTGACCATCTTGGGAGCCTTGGGACATTTTTGGCACTTGCTCCTACTCAAAGTATTTAGATTCTTAAGAAGACAGGAAATTAAATTGGAAGGCTTTCCTCCTACACATTTATCATATTAGAACTTTCTGGGATAAAATTTTATCAGTTTAATACAGCTTCATAATATGAAATGGAGCACAAGTGTTATCAAAGCATTTTATTCAAAAGCGTAGTCTCTGTAAGTTGTCTTTTTAAAAAGTGTGAATGGCGAGTTAAATTATTGCGTGACTTTTCTCCCCAGATTAAAATTTTTAGAAGAAATTTCCTCTCACATCTGTGTGGACTCCAGTGGGGGCATTTTTAAAGTAATTCCTTTGCCCACTTAGAATATCCAACTGAGTCAGGAACATTCCACTGTAAAGGTATTTCACTTGTTTTATTTTGCAAGAAAACATGGAGAGAAGCCAATCTATTCCTTTTGTGGCCCTGGATGCCTCTGATTTCTCAGCCATGCAATAGTGATAGTACCGTCCAGAACTTCAGGAGTGATTGTGTGAGTTCAAGGTAATTTTTTGAAGTGCCAAAGCACCGAAGAGAACAAGGAGAGAATGGTGGGTGTATGGGTATCTTTGTGTATTTATAGTCATCATTCCCATCAGGAAGAATGGCCAGGTGTCCTCAGTTCATCAGGTAGTCCAAGTGTAGAGATAGAGAACTGAAGTCTCATTCAACCAGCAGAAGTAGAAATGAAGATACAGAGAGGAAAGGTGGGTGGTGTGAGCTCATCTGAGAGATGCTCTGGGCAGAGAACACAGGAAGCTTGGGTGTGGAATGTGGCAGTTAAAATCATAAAGGTGGGGGGCTGAGCAACTGTTTTAATTCAGTGAAGCTTGTCAGATGCTGGGGTTTTGCTACTGAGTACCTTTCAGGAGCTACCGCCCAGGATGTAGTTTGTTTGAGCAAAGGGAAAGCCTTCACCACAGGCAAAATGAGAAATGAGCTTACACCTCTGTTTCAGTGCCCTTGATCTATCCCACTGTGTAAGCAAGTAAATATGGCCCCTCCTTTAATTGACCCCCTTCTACACTCTTGGGACAGGAGTCAAGGCATCTGTGTGGTGTATGTAGCGTGTCCTCTAAAAGAAGGCCTGGACATGCTTTCCCATTGGGATCCTGACAGCACCTCGGGAGGCCTTCTTGGAGGGGCTACAGAGGCACCAAGTGCCCCCTCCTCCTCGGGACACGTGTCAGGCCTACGAGCCTTACTTTAGGTTCTGTGAGCTTCCCGTACCTAAGGAAGGAAAAAGGCACATTTCCTCCTCCTTCCTCCTCCTTTTTGACTACATCGTCCTCAGGGAAACCCAACTATCTGGGGAAAGAGAAGGTCTTTCGAGCAGATCACTTTGCAATATGGGTCAAAGCCGGGGGGTGGCTCTCAAGCCTGGGCATGCATTATACTAACCTTAAATTCACCGGGAAGCTTTTCAAGTACACTGACACATCCCCTCCCCGCTCCCCCAGGGCAGAACAACAGAGTCAGTGTCTAGGGGTGGGGGGGAGGATTCCGTTTTTCAAGTTCTCAGTGACCTGGGACGTGAAGATGTAAGCCAGCCTGCACGCCTCTGCACCTCGAGATTAAACAAACACCTACCCAGCCCCTGATTCTGCCTGCCAGGAACCCTAACGGTGCTTGCTGTCCACCGAGCACCCTGTGTATGGGCACAGGCTGAGAGTAAGCCAGGAGGCCCGAGGTGACGGAGGAGATGCTGGAAGCAAAGGAGCACAGACTTGACCGAAGGGTACAGTGGAAAAGTAAAAAGGCCAAAGGAAGCAGAATTGTGAGGAGAAATACACGGTGAAGATGAATTTAGTAATTTCTTAGAGACTTCTTTTTGCTTTAGGGATTCCTTACACTTTCTCTCCACGTTGGGTCACGTGTGTGATTCTGAACTGAAGCGTGAACAGGTGGGTGTTAGAAAGGACCGTTGTTTTTTTTTTTTTTTTTTAAAAAAAAGATCACATGGGAAAAGAAGTTAAAATTTAGGGAAAGCAAAATATTCCATCCCTTTCCCCAGGCACCCAACATCTAGGCAACACAAGCAAAGTGAAATTGTAATGGTGCTTGCTAAGCCTGTTTGAAAACAAATCCTGTTGGGCCCCCATAAAGGGAGAATCAGGTGTCCGGCCCAGCAACTCCTCCGTTCTCCAATCTGAAAACACTCAAAAGGATGGAGGTAGAGCTTGTACACAGTTTTTTAAAAGACGCATCTAATGGAATCACCTCTCATCCCACCCCCACCAACTGGTGCTCATTTTTATATTGATGACAGTAGGAAATGCTAAACACCAGTGAAAAGCTTCACGTTACTGGGCCGGGTGTATGAGAATAAAATCAAAAATTGAAATATTAGGTATATACACAACAGCATAAGTGAAATGTGATGTGATATAGCATTTTCCATTCAAAGCTTTTACAGTAGAAAAATTTAGTAAACAAAACCTCTTGTCTCTCTTGCTCCAGTGGCTCCGCTGAGCCTCCTGACTCATTTATTTTCCATCATATCTTCATATAAATAGTCTCACACAGACCTTACACAATTTAGAAAAGATTGCTGAATCACAAAAATAGCCCCCAAATATGGCACTGTTACTTTCTAGAGTGTGACTAAAATGAATACTTGATCATTAAAACAATATTCAAAATCATTTGAAGCAATAAAGAAAATTCTGATGTTTTGTACAAGGCCCTAGAAGTTTCTGCGGAGATCAGCATCTTGTTGTTCTTCCAAAACTACATTGCCCAAGAAAGTCTGGATACAGGAAATTGTGGATTTGAAAAGCTGAACTGTTAAAAAGTATTCCTTCTTACGGCAGAGCAGCTTTTAAAGCTCCTTTCCAGGGTGGTCTGGGCAAACCCCGGCTGCTGGGGGCGGGGCGGTCCATGTCGCTTAACACGGCTGCCCTGTCTGCTTGCAGGTGACACTTTCAAGGAAAGAGACCCCCTTTTCCCAGCTGGGGTTCTGAGCGGTCTCCACCGAAGGAAACACTGAACAGTTTCAGATTGCAGGGGGTGGGAGATCACTGAAATCTGGGAACGACATTGAAGCTTCTGACTCCACCTGCAAAATCTAACAGGTTGGATTAGTAAAATTTTTTTTTTTTTAAACAAAGAAGCTAAAGCATAGAGAAAATACAAAGAAGCGTCACGAAAGCCATATGGTTATTTTACTTTTATAAATGAGTTTAGCTGTGCTCCTGTCTGGGATTTACTGAAATGGCCTCTGAACCTCTGAGTCACACATCCCCTTGTAAACACGAGGCTGATATGGGTGCACTTTTGGTGGGACAGGTGTTGTCTTCTCAGAAGCCCGTGTCCAGGTGTTGGTCTAGCGAGGCCGGACTGCCCACGGGGAGCAGGCCAGGCCACGCACTGGTGGGCAGTGGCCCTTGCGAGCAGAATCCTTTCCCATGGGGGGTGTTCTTCCTGAGTGTTAGCCTTGTGTGTGGGAAGCGGGGGTGGCCGGTGACCCCAGCCCAGGAAATAACTAGTGAGCAGAGATTGTTACGTTTTCCTTTTAGGAAGGCAGCCGTCCCGTGAGTGGCCTGAGTCCCCTGCGCCCTAAGGCTGCTGCTGGTACTGGCCCTCCGTGGCCGTATAGAAGTCGTCCAGGACGCTCTGCAGGTAGTCGAACGTGGGCCTCTCCTCGGCCTTTTCTTTCCAGCACATTTTCATGATGTCGTAGAGCTCGTCCGGGCAGTTCTCCATGCGGGGCATCCTGTAGCCCTGCGACAGGGCGGTCATCACGTCAGCGTTAGTTCTCCCTGAGGCCGAGAAACCACAGGTACCATTTAGAAGCCTGACCCAGGCTCACGCACTGCAGTGGTACCCACCTCCTACATCTGTGGTTGAAGCAAAGCTTCGGAGGCTGCCGTGGGCTGAACTGTGTTCCCACCACACCCTCCCCTGCAAACTCCTATGTTGCACTCCTAGCCCCCAGGACCTCAGAATGTGACTGCATTTAGAGCTAAGGCCTTTAAAGGGGTGACCGAGTCAAAATGAACCCTTTAGGGTGGTCCCCAACTGCCTCTGACTGGTGTCCTTGTAAGAAGAGGAGATTAGGAGAGGCCGGGGGAGACACGTGGAGAAGACGGCCGTCTCAAGCCAAGGACAAGCCTCGAGAGAAAGCAAGCCTGCCGACACCTTGATCCTGGACTTGAGGCCTCCAGAACCAGGAGAAAATAAATTTCTGTTGTTTGAGCCACTCAGTTTGTGGTATTTTGTGCTGGCAGCTCTGAAAACTGGTACAGAGGCTAAGGAAATTTCTGTAAGCGATGAAATAAATGTTAGTACGAAGGAGATTAAGGCAGCATTCAGTTGCCCAAGTGAAAACAGGCAACCGTGGTAAATGGAAGACAAAGTGAGCTCTAATGACAAAAGGACACTGGACTTGACAGACCTTGTGAATGAACAGCCCAATCTTAACACTTAATCTCACTTTCTTCTGTAGTATTTTTTTTCCAGCTTCTACCTGGAATACCAAAAAAATCATTTTACCGTACAGTATCTCCTACCAATACTTTTTCAAAATTAGCTTTTCATCGTAAGTGTACTTAAAGAAGTCAGGATCCTTAAGTCAGCCGGACCAATTGTTTAATTCCCACTCCTCAAATGGTCCCAGCCTTCAGTACAGTAAGAGGCAGAGTCCGCCAGGCTGCGGGAACAGCCGGCGAGGGAAGCAGGCTGCCCGCTATTCCTACGGGGCTCTGCAAGAGAGCTGACCACGGAGGATGGCTTTTACTGTGGTCACATGTCTCAGGGCAGTTCAGATGCTGAACTGTCCATCTTTGATACTGAGAATAGCTTTAAGGAAAAAAAGGGCATTTTAATAACATTTTCCTCCAGTGCTAAAATGGGATATCGAAACATGCTCATCTAGCAGTTTTAGCAGGACTTATCCACATCTGGGTGTTTTGCCTATTTTGTGGCTACCTTATTCTGTAGGGACATGGGCTTCTCTAGTGAGGAGCTGTACCTCATGTGGAATATTTTCATGCGTAGAATGCATATAATATCTGGCACACGGGGAACTCCATTCACCCCAACCGTTCCCTTTCCATAGTTATCTCCTTTCCATAGCCATAGATTTCACCACTAGTGGTCACTGGAAAGATCCTAAAAGATAACTAGACAGTTTAGGGGAAACATCTTTGACTTGATCGGAAACAGACCCTTCTTTTGAATTTATTCTCAAATCCGTGTTTTTCAAATTGTGCGTCACCACCCGTTTGGGATCAGTAAATTGATTTTGGGGGAGCTACCAGTATTTAAAAATATAAATTACCAATATAACAGAGTAAAATAGAAAAGATCAGAGTGCGCTGTATATGGCAAAAGTCAGTGTGGTGTTGTGAAACTTTTGTTTTATATATGGAGCGGGTTTCTGTCTGTTTCTTACTGTGGGTCATAATCAGTGACCTCTGAACTCCTTTGCCCTTAACTAACCTTTCTTCTTCTAAGGACACAGTGACTGAAGGGCCCTGCCTGGATTTAAACCCCTGAAAAAAGACACGATTATTTCTGTCTTGGAAGAGCCCTTGTTTTTGAAATGGGAAGATCCAAGCCAACCTTATAACTGTTAAGATCTCTTGAAAGTTGTTTACACGGTGAATTAATTTTGCTCAAGTCTACTTCTGAAACATCATCTTCAAATATTTGTGTAACGGGAATGTTCTAACTAGAACACTTCATTTGCTTCTCATTGCTTGAAGCCAAGGGGCTGGTTTGCATCGCTTTCTTTAATTGGGGTTCTGGTCTCCGTAAATTATGTGGCTTCAGCATTGCTCTGGCTTCTGTAACCAGCCAAGCTCACTTGGATAAATTTCTGAAGAAATATCCGTGTTTATTTCTACATGGGCATTGGGGAAAGTTCTGGGGTCCTGGCAGGAGGATTAATATCCAGGATAAAGGAAACAGCAGCCGGACCTGCAAGGCTGGGTAGGAATACCTCTTTCACCTCCTTCCTGGAGAAGCCCCAGTTGCATAAAAGGTCAGAACGTGCCCACAGAAGATAAATAAACCTTTCTAGGGCCCACGCTGCTGCACTGCAGATTTTTTTCTTCCTTGTTCTTATATGTTCTCCTAACTCCGAAGAACTCTCTCAGTGATGCAGACAAACGCCAGGCACGCTCCAGCCTGCCTGGGGAATCTGACTTGATAAGAGGAATAAAAAGAAGGAAATCTGAACTCTGTCTTTTTATGTACAAGTAAATCTACCAACAAAATACGGCTATCAACGGACAAGTCTGATGGAAGAAAGAAAGAGAGGAGAGAGACCTTGACCGAACCCTAAGATTAAACCCGGTGCTGGTCTGTTGCTAGGGTGAAGAAAGCAAACACCCATTGGCTGGTGATCTTTAAAGGCAAGCAACCTCATATTCCATCCTCCCTCCTTTCGACAAGCGTGTAGTGAGTACTTCCTACGGGTCATGAGCTGGCACTAAGCTCTGAGAGGTACAAAGATGACTAAGACAAAGTCCTGTCCTCAAATGGCACACAGCCCAGAGGGGAAGCCAGCTCAGGAGACGGAGCTGGGGGGTGGGCAGGAGGTGACATCTGGAGTCGGTAGGAATTGGCAGAGACTAAAAGTTGGTGAGGGAGCAAGGGAGGGGGAAGGACGCAGTAGAGCAGAGATGAGAAAAGAGACGGGGCTCAGCGGCAGGAGACAGAAGCCCGGGCGCTCCAGGAACCAGGACAATCTTTAACGACAGAGCGAGCCTGTACGTATGAGCAAAGGAAGCACAGCCAGCCCGGGACCGCAGTCTCCCGCCCGGTGACAAATTATATTTTTCTGAGCACTGCTTGTGATGGAGCATCTGCAGCAGGATGAGTTTCCTGATTCTGGTTCACGTATAGCTTAAGATGCTAGATATATCTGGCAAGAAGCAGCCAGAAAAGACACGATGCTTCCGAAAGCTTCGTCTTTTTCAAACCTCCTTTCTCTTTATAAGAGCAAAGCAAAACAAACCCCCAACCACAAGGGTCCCCTCTAGTTTCTTTAGAAAATTCCTATACAAATATGACTACAGTTTTGCTTTTAAGATAGTGAAGGATCTTTTTGCCCCACCTCCCTTTTTCCCTTTAATTCATCCCCAAACAAAAAGAGAACAAGAAAGAGAAGAACGGCGTCTCTGATGTAATCAGGAGACACCTGTCAGCCAGAGGCAGAAGCGGTCTGAGCCCAGAGGAGGAACGTGACCCAAGCGCCCGCCAGAGAGGAGTCAACAGTGGATGTCTGGTCACCACGTCTTGGGACGGGGCACTCCCGGGCTGAGGTCGGTGCTGCAGGCAGGCCTGGACCTGGAACCCGCCTGGCAGGTGCCCAGGTTAACGCTGGAGGGATGGAAGGAGAGAAACTCCAGGCCCAGTGGACGGGGTGCAGGGGGCGCGGAGGACACTGGAAGCAAGGAGAGTGAGGCGCACCTGGCCCGGGCCACAGCCTGGCTGCACCTGAGGACGCCAAGCTGAGTGAAATGAGCCCGGCACAAAAGGACACATACGGTACGACTCCACTTACAGGAGTGCCGAGAGCAGTGCAATTCCTAGAGACGGAAAGTAGAACAGAGGTGACCAGGGGCTGGGGGGGGGCAGGCGGAATGGGGACTTAGTGTCTAATGACCCTAAGGACCACAGTATCAGTTTGGGAAGGTGAAAAAGTTCTGGAAATGAATAGTGGTGGGGGTCGCACAGCACTGTGAATGTACTTAATGCCACTAAACCATACACTTAACAATGGTTACGATGGTAAATGTTATTCTGTGTTTCTTTTACCACAATAAGAAAACCCACAACAACAGCAAAGAAAGACCCTGATGTCCGCTCCCCAGGGCGCCTCCGGAATGCTGATGGCCAGGCGGTGCTCCCACCAGCAGGGCCTGGAAGATCGTCTTCAGAAGGAACTAAATAGTCCCAGAGAACAGACCTAAAGATATTGCCGGGTGCGGATGCTGACAGTGCGCCCGGTGGTCCAGAGGCCCTGGTTCCCACAAGACGTCTCACCGAAGCAAGGGGGGAGAAGGTAAGCCTCAGAGGAGGACAGAGGACAGGATGACAGGGACAGAAGCATAGACAGGGGGCTCTGACGATCACCCCAGGAGGTCTACTGTCCTACCAGTGAGTGATTTGGAAAGAGGCAAGGAGCGAATTTTCAAAGAAGCAATATACGAAAACTTCCCAAAATCTATGGCTACAAGTTTCCAAACCAAAAGAACAAAACAGGTACCGAGCATGACGTAAAAATGACAGAAGTGTCACGCCAAGGTACATGGCCATAAATCTCAGGGACAAAGAAGGATCTCGAATTCTTCCATAGAGGAAACGGGATCCTAGGGGGAAGATAGGTACAGAAGCCATCAGCCTTCAGGCCAGCCACTCGGAAAGCTGAGGTCAGTGGAAGAATTATGCTTAAAATTCTAGGCGAGGACGTTCGGTGCACTAGCATTCGTAACATAAACAAATTTGGGAACTGGACTTATTTAGCTGTTTAAGTATATTTAGGGCACGAGTCTCTCCAGAGGAAGTCCTATTTGGAGCGGAGTCTATCTTCTAGGTATGAACTGGAAGAATATTATCTTTGATGCCTCCAATTTTCACGAGACAATCTCCAAAGTCGAGTACGCGACAATCGTGATCTGTTTACTCATTCGGTGTCCCCACCCACGAGGAGAGAGTGCTTCACGGCAACAGCTTTCGGTCTAGGGGCTGCACATTTAAATTCATAACTAGGGGCTACACATTTAAAAACATAACTATAAAATATGGTTGAAATGGACTAACAGCAAACGAAGACAAAGAAGTTTTGAGATTTGCCCCAAATACAACGAATGGGTGCAAAGCCCTTTCCTAAAAAGCAGGTTACGAAAAAGCCCTTTTCTGCATCACATCCCATGTGCACAGAAGTTCGTGGTGCCAGCTGTGCCAGTTCAAAGCGTCTATTCAACGAGTAGGACTGCAAATGGGAAATGAGACTCTCGTGCTCCACTAGCACTTACTTCGTATTTGACGACTAGAATTTTGATAAGTTTATTAACAACATTGTACATTTTGTTCTCACATTCCCAGAGTCTGTGGGTGCTATCCGTTTTGGCATCCAGTCACTCTGTGTATTTGGTACAGCTCTAGTTATATACGCCTTGATATTCCTGGGATGTCTCTGACGGATGCACCAGAAATTGAGAACGGTGGCTGCAGACAGACACACCTGTCACCTTACACCTCTTTGTACCTCTTGGACTTAGAACCATGTGACCATATTCTTATTTAATAATAACTAAAATGGATGAAAATCTTGACTTAGGAAATAACAGTCTGCGTATAATATTTAGAACTATGAACAGCAAATGTTAGGATAAATAGCCAAGATTCCTGAAAGCCAGTGCGTCTCAGGAGCCGAAAAGAGTGAGGCCCTGGGAGCAGGTTTCCATCAGAAGCCTTTTGCACTACCTAATTTTTTAAATATATTTTTTAGACAAGAAGTAAAATATTTAATAAAAACATACTTGTAAAAAGTTAGCCGCTTCAGGAATTTATCAAGAAAAAAATAATGTAACCTGTTATTTCATTGCTCAAGGATAGTAACATTTTGATATATTACACCTTTTAGTCTTTTTTTTTCCTCTGTTCATTTTATAGGAGACTTTCTTATTTCTTTTCTGTTTCTATTCCCCTTTTCTTTCTTAGTGCCTTTTTATTTTGCAAAGCTAGGCATATAGCTTCTAAACCACGAAAAAAAGAGACATATCCAGCACTTTTCCGGGTAAAGAAAGTATTCTCCGATAACTTAATTGTCAGTGGGCCTGTCGTAAGCAGTTTTATAACAGTGATGGAACTGGCATGTACTGTCTATGTTCACCAGTTTTCACGCTCTCTATGAATCGAGTCCTCTGATAACTAAGTAAGTAGGATTGTCCGCTCTGTTCACACGTCCTAATGCTAGAGGCTCTCATAACATACAACGCTTGTGACTGGGAAACCTCATCAACCCAGAACTCCCGAAAGGATGACACATCCCTGGTCCTATCAGAGGACAAGAGACTGCAGAATAGACCAACTGATGCTCTCTGGTTGGTCCTATCAGGTGTGTGTGTGTGTGTGTGTGTGTGTGTGTGTGTGTGTGTGATTCTCACTGCTTTTCTCCTGGTTATTTTATAATTTTTATGGTTTTTCACCCCAAGCATTTTCTTTTTTTTTTTTTTTCTTGCGTTATGCGGGCCTCTCACTGTTGTGGCCTCTCCCATTTGCGGAGCACAGGCTCCGGACGCGCAGGCCCAGCGGCCATGGCTCACGGGCCCAGCCGCTCTGCGGCATGTGGGATCTTCCCGAAACGGGGCACGAACCCGCGTCTCCTGCATCGGCAGGCGGACTCTCAAGCACTGCGCCACCAGGGAAGCCCTCACCCCAAGCATTTTCTAATCGTGGGCATTGAGCACAGCAGGTCAGACTGAGAAGGCCGGGATTCCGCAGCAGCTCTGCCAGGAGCTCGTGATGCAGTTCTGGGCAAGAGTCCCCTTCTCAGAGCCTCAGGGCCTCATCTAGCACATCACTGTGGAGCATGCAGTACATACCACACAACATGTGTGAGGCTGTATGTTTATCTGATCAGATGTCATATATATATATATATATATATATATATATATATATATATATAAAATCTTTCTCTATAGGTTATAGGTTATAGATATATAATGTCAGATATCCGGGCTGATCAGGAAATACTGTCCCCATTTTGCAGGGGTGCTATTCATGAACTTCAGTGTCTAGAACAGAGCGGCCGTCGGAATATGGAATGCGGGCACCAGAGGGGTTTCACGGTACAGTCAGCCCACTGCGCAGGCACCACTGAAGGCCTTCCCCTCCGGCTGGCCCCCCAGGCCCCAGCTTCTCGACGGCTCAACCCCGAAGGGCAGTGAGGGTGACGAGGATTGCAAAGACCGTGCGACTGCTCTGTCCCAAAGCTTCCGGTCTCCTGGAGTCGGGGCCGAAGCCCCTGCGTGGCCCCTGAGGCTCGCATCCGCTCCCGCCCAGCTCCGCGCCTCCAGCCCCTGATCGGGACCCCGTGGGCCACCCGGGCCCTTCTGTCAAGTCACCGAGTTCCCTGCTGCTGCCGGGGTCACTGTTTAGAACCTGCAGCCCTGCCCCAGGCCCCGATCCCTACACCACGGTGCCCCCTCCATGGCGCCCCTCCCATCCTACGCACTGGCCCTATTACCAGTGATTATAATTAGTGATTGTTAGTTATCAGTCTCTCCCTCCTCAAGTATTAGCTCTCAAGGGCAAAAGCTGGGACTGCTCCATCCGGGCACCTCGTGAGTGCCTGGGCACCCTCAGATATTTTTTGAACGGAGGGAATGACTTAAACATTAAAGATTTAATTTAAAATTGGCCGTATCCGTTAATTTTGTTAAAAGCCAAACATTAACAAGAATGTGACAGCTTGGGGGAAAATCCCTCTCCTTGCACATTCCAGCATGGATCCTGCAAAGAGGAGAGCTGGGAGAATCTGGCTCCGACGAGGTCAGGAATCCGGAAATACTGAACGATGTCCCCACGTCCACTAAGTCAAAGATCTGAAGAATCTTTCACTCACACACAGAGGTGGTTATTTCCTGAAGAGGCAGAGACGCCAAAGTCCCTTGTGTGAACTTCTGTTTCAAAACTGACCGAGAAAGAATTGTAAAAGCCTCATCTTGGGAGGGGCACCTGTGTCTAATCCTCTAATCCATCTTTATGAGCAGTACCTGTGATGGTGCCAGGCACATTCTAGGCAGCAAGGGGTGGAATTAATTAGCGAAGCAAAAGAATATGCACTCAATCAGGCAAGAAAGCAGAGAAGTTTCTAAGCATATTTTAGGACACCTTCCAGTAACGACAGTCAAAATAAAGTTCTAGCACCGTGGGCTTACTTTACTTTTGGATATAAGTTTATCTTTTTATGACTCGTGCCACTTGGTTTTTTTCTCATATATACCAAGTGAATGGAAATCGGTAAGTAACTGATACCTGGGTAGGGAATTTTCCCATAGGTGACGATTTCGTACAGGAGAATTCCAAAGGACCACACGTCAGACTTAATAGTGAAACATCCAAAGTTGATTGCTTCTGGAGCTGTCCACTTAATGGGGAACTTAGCACCTAGGGCAGAAGACACAGGTGTTTTACTTGGGTCTCTGAGCTGAAACAAAAGAGTCATGGGCGTGTGACCCTCACACTTTCCTTTGCGGGGAAAATTTTAATGAATTATTTTGAGCAGGTTAACACATACACACAGTAGAAAATAGAGATGGTACAAGATGTCATACTAAGAATGTTTGCCTCCCTCTGTTTCCCTCGCGGGCATTCCCCTCTTAAGAAGCAAAGTTTTTTGTGTATTCTCTTAGCGAAATCACAACTAGCACACTTGAAACATGAGAACATGACACCGAATGGAAAGGCATCTATTCTTAGCCCGTACACCTGTCCCTCGACATCAGCCTTCTAGAGCGTGTATCCTTCGTGTTCACATTTTCTCTAATGACCCAGAGCATGTTTATATGGAATATAAGTATCTCGATGTGTATATTCTTGCGGATAAATCTCTTGAAGCCTCTACCAACGGGGATTTTAGATGCTACTCCAAGCTTTCATTTGATAGGACCAAACATTACTACTCTTCTAGGAACTGTGTAGGATGATGATCTGCCCAGACTGAGATGACGATGAAACTAGGTTTCTCACGAGAAGCTGGTGAGACTCAGTTCGACTTAGCCGCCGGGTCACATTGGGAGGCAAGCCTGGCCCCGGGGAACTCGCAGGGTCACCTCGAGGGAAGCAGGGACTCGGGCACTTCTGCACCCTGGAAAGGCAAGGGCTTTCCACCAACTACTAAAGAATTTTTAAAATACATTTGCCTTCACGATGTCTTTGCCTTAGACTTTTCTGTGAAGTCCAGACCTAGTGCACAGGGTGGGGCCAGGAAGGGCGGGGCTGTGGTTGGGGCGGAGCCAGGGCGGGGCCTATGCGTGGGCGTGGCTGGGTGGAGCCTGGGGTCCAGCATGGCCTTGTGGGGGGGCTTGACTCCCAGTTCTGCTGTTTCCAGCCAGGTATGACCCCGGCAAGACACTTACTGCTTCTGTGCCTTCTTGGCACTTCCATCCATGAAATGAGTAAACAGCAGAACCTCCCCTGTTGCTGTCAGGGTTAAGTGGGTGGGTCTGCATGCTTGGCACAGAGGAAATGCCAGTGAGGGTAAATATCCTTACTTTTGCCCTGAGGTGACCTACTGTTTCGTTCTAGGACTCGAGCCCTCTGCATTAGGCCACCTGTTTCTCGTGAGAACAGTTATTTCTGTGAGACTCTAGGCTTGTCAAATTCTACAAAACGGATGTAATAAATTCTGACTCATGCACTTTGAGGCCACATCTCCTGGGTTTGAGTCCTGGCTCTAGCACTTACTCTGGGGCCTCAGAAGCTTCTGAACCTCTCCTTTTTTCTCATCTATAAGGTGGAAACAATAATACTGCTTATCACATAGGGTTATTGCAAAGGTAACTGAGATGGTGTATGCAAAGCGCTTAGAATAGCCGCTGCCGCGCTGCAAACGCTCACTACCTTTTAGCTACTTTTCAGACTATTTCTCTTGACCTGCCATTTTGCTGAAGATAATTAAGGCCAAGGATAAACTATAATCCACCTAAGAGAATGCAAACTTGAGGCAGGAGAACTACCGTAAGTATGACGAATGCAGGAGATGCTAGACAAATCAAATGGATGTTTTCAATTTGTTTGTCACCTCTATAAATTCTGTGGGTACCTTCCAGAAATAACACACATGTAGTTAAAATAATCCTTGGTTAACAATTCTTAGGAATGTCAAGAAAGTGCTTGGTTCTTTCAGAAGGGAGAAAAGCACTGCAAAAAAACCTCACTCAACTTTCACGAGCGAGACCATCAGAATCCTCAGATCATAAGCAACAGAGAAGAATCTCCAACAGGAAAGGTCAGTGCAGACAGGGCTGGCCCCAGAATGACAGGCCAGGAACTCGAAGATTTACTCTGTGCGTTTTTTGGTTTACATATATAATATGGAAGGTGGGAAAATAAAGGAGTGTATTTTTGTAGTGTTATATTTACTTCTGTGTGTGTGATAATTTCCATGTTTTAATTTGTAGCTAAAAGGCCAGAATATAGAGTATAGACTTATTGTTACAAATATTTTCTCCATAGTTAAGGAAAGTACACTTCACTGTTCCAGTGAAAAAAGCTCTAACAAGTAATATGAACAAAGAATCATGATCCTGTCAAATCTCATTTTGTTTTGCCTTGCTTAATCGAAATACAAATGACAGCATTTGTAAATTTTATAAAAGTATCTTGCAGAGCTAATCAAGAGAGTAATTTTTCAAAACAATTATTAGAATAAACCACAAACAGCAACTATGGTACATTTTGAATATTGTACCAAATGAATTCTTTTTCTAATGATGCCTATTGTAATTGCTCTGTTAAAAACAGGCAAAAACGGGCTTCCCTGGTGGCGCAGTGGTTGAGAGTCCGCCTGCCGATGCAGGGGACACGGGTCCGTGCCCCGGTCCGGGAGGATCCCACATACCGCGGAGCGGCCGGGCCCGTGAGCCATGGCCGCTGAGCCTGCGCGTCCGGAGCCTGTGCTCCGCAACGGGAGAGGCCACAACAGTGAGAGGCCCGCGGACCGCAAAAAAAAAACAAACAAAAAAAAAAACAGGCATGAACAAAATAAAACTAAACAATAACCAAACACCTAAAGGTCGTTCCGGGAACGTACCTTCCCTGGCTGTGTACTCGTTATCCTCAATCACTCGAGCAAGGCCAAAATCTGCGATTTTGCACATGAGGGCCTCGGAGACCAGGACGTTAGCGGCTCGTAGGTCCCTGTGGATGTAGTTCTTCCTCTCAATGTACGCCATTCCCTCCGCGATCTGGAAACAGAAGAAGGCTCTCCTTTAGATGTTCCATTTAGGCCCATATACGGACATATGGAGGAAAACCAGAAAACTTCTGAGTTCCTGAAATCCTTTCATGTACGATATTCCGATCATTCCAATTTTTAAAACAGCAGGTAAATTACAATCTCCATTTTAAGTCCTTTCTAAAATAGCTGCCCCCAAACCTCCAACGATGGTAATCACTCTCAACATGGTTATTTAAATAGCTGTATGTCTCAGCCTTTTTTAAATGCGTGGAGACTTTTTTTCAGATCCTACTAAATTCCTGCAAGTAGATACACAGATGTTTGTATCCCAGTTTTCCAAACGAGGAAAGAGAGCCAGGGAAGTGCCGTGCCAACACAAATACAGTATTGGGGTGTCAAGAACAGGCTGTCCCTGGCCAGCAGCATCCTTGCTGTCGGGTCAGTCGACTGCCCACAGGACGCAGGCTCTAAGCTCTCTCTGCACAGTCCCTCCAGGACGAGCAGAAAGAATCACCCAGACATAAAGCTCACAGCAGGAGAGAAGCAAGGATAAAATGATGAAACAGGGGAGGTGAAACTGCTACTCATGGCTTGCTAGGAAATCGGGTTTTTAAGGAATCAAAATAGGATTATTAAGGAAAACATTACCAAATTATAAAGATAAGAATCAGGTAGGAAGGAAGGAGGGAAGGAAGGAAAGAAGGGAAGGAGGGAGGGAGGGAGGAACCAAGTAGCTGTGTCTGGTGAGCAGTTAGAGGGAAAACTAGTTAGGACTGTGTCACACAGGAATGAATGTATTCTGCGGATTCTACCTTGAATTCCAGGTGGCTCAGCGTGGAGGACCTGAGTACTCCCACACCCCGTCCTCAACAGCATCCTCCTGGCTCAGTCAAATGCCGCTGTTTCAGCCAGGCCCTGTGGCTTAGCAAAAGCTTTTTAGCTCCTTACTACAGGGGGTGCTTCTCCTGACCTCGGCCTGGAACGCCTTGCTTCCCCTCTGGGCCAATCACTAGGCTTCCTTCTGGCCACAGGGCCTTCCCTGAACTCCTCTTGGATAATTTCACTCTACACCCACCATCAATGGTCAATTTGTACAAAAACCATTTGCACCTACTGACCATAGCTTTGCCATTATTTTGATGCTGTTTAAGGTGCTTACTGCTGCCCTGCCAACCAGACAGCAAACACCACCAGGGAGAAGCCACCTTACATCTTTTCTGTTCTCACGTGTTGTCTACTGGAAGCTTCAGCCATGTCACTCCCCTCCTCTCAGAGCCGAAGAAAGTTCTTTGGTAAAGTGTGCTGGGTTTTTAATATGACCAGGATGCCACGCTGTTTGCTCTCTGCTGCAGAAATTTGCCAGCTGCTATTTCTGTGGCCAGAAAATCTGCCGTATAATAATCAGAATACAGCAGCTCAGTCCCAAAGTCCTGGCAGCCTAGGGGCTCGCCTGTGACTCGCCCCAAAGAGTCTTGAACAGGTAAAATCATAAATCCGAAAGAATAGAAGAGGTCTGAACATCTTCTTTAGTAGAAACGACAATTTGATCACGTACCCCTTGACTATGACCAAGAATTACGTGTGTGGCACGCAGCCTGGGCCGGTAGAGTGGAGAAGACCCAGGCCACGTGACACCTGCTCAGTGGACTCGGGGTCCAGCCCCTGCCTGGACGGCTGGGCCAGCCTCACACAGCATCCCTCGATAGGAATACCTTAATCCTTTGTGCAAGACCGGCCAGGTCACTCCCTGCGTAAAACTAGCCTCCAGATAACGTCTGAACCCCTTAGAGCTGCTTCCAAGGCCCTGGGTGACTGGTCCATTATCCTCCACCTTCCACCACTGCCTCCCTCCAGGGTCCTGGTTCCTGCAGCCCCTGTTGCGGGGCAGTTCTTCCCGCAGGTCTCAGGGGAGACGGCCCTTCCGCTGAGAGGCCTTCCCTGACCCTCCTTCTCGTCCAGTGTGTGTGGTCCCAGGGCCCCCCCCCCCCCCCCCCCCCGCTCACCTGGGCATCGCAGGAATGTAAACCCCTTAGGGCACACTCCTGTTCTTGAGCCCGCATGTTACATTCCAATGATTCTAGACAAACTGGGCCAGGAACTGGGAAGAGCCGAAGCTGGCTGCGATCCCAACACGTCCACGTGCCGCAACGATTGAGCCCACGGGCCGCAACTACTGAAGCCCGCGTGCCTAGAGCCCGTGCTCCGCAACAAGAGAAGCCACCGCAATGGGAAGCCCGCGCACCGCAATGAAGAGTAGCCCCCGCTGGCCGCAACTAGAGAAAGCCTGCGTGCAGCAACGAAGACCCAGTGCAGCCACAAATAAATAAATTAATTAAAAATAAGTAAATAAATAAAAGTGTCCTGGGAACTTGTGGGTAAGGCTTTTATCACACTCACCCGAGTTCTGCATTTACACAAACCTGAATGCATTTTTTAACATGATTCTCTAAAATAATAACAGACTTGCGGCAAGCCCAGCTTAGTTTGGCTTTCTTTTCCACGTCACAGTGCTTTAAGGGGCTCATATTCCAAACAATAATAATAGCGTTCACCAAGACCAAGTTTCTAAACAACAGTGCTTGCCAAGTGGAATAAACAATAGATATGAGAGCAAAATAAAAGTTTTCAGATAGGGCTGGTTTTGAGGTCAAAAAAGACTACAATTCTCTACTTATATAAAAAGTATTATTTCCCTGGTCTACATGTGTTTTTCTTTCTTGGTTTCTTTCTTTCTTTTTAAAACCTTAATCTTTTGTTGCTGTTGTTGTTGTATTTACTTTGGCTAAAGTAAATCCAACTCTATTTCTCTATTTCGCAACAGCAGGAAGAAATCATAGGCCACTTTGGCTAGTGGAATCTAGGATCAACTTTGCTTTTTGCACGAATACGTTCTTGCTTCTCCAGGTCACTTAGTCTAACCGCTGTCAGCACTGCAGAAAGAGCTGTTGCATAAATGCATCCCCCCCCCAGGCTCAGCCATCCTCGGGGACCCGGGGAGAGGGGAGAGCTCGCCTCCTACTTTCTTTTTAACTAAATTATAGTTGACTTACAATGTTTCAGGTGTAGAGCAAAGTGATTCAGTTACACATAGGTATATATGTATTCTTTTTCAGGTTCTTTTCCATCACAGGTTATTACAAGATACTGAGTATAGCTCCTTGTGCTCTACAGTCGGTCCTTGTTCTTTGTCAACTTTATATACAGTAGTGTGTATCCGTTAATCCCATTAGCTCAGAAAGGCTGATCTGAGGGCTTCCCTGGTGGCGCAGTGGTTGAGAATCCGCCTGCCAATGCAGGGGACACGGGTTCGAGCCCTGGTCTGGGAGGATCCCACATGCCGCGGAGCAACTAGGCCCGTGAGCCACAACTACCGAGCCTGCGCGTCTGGAGCCTGTGCTCCGCAACAAGAGAGGCCGCGACAGTGAGAGGCCCGCGTACCGCAATGAAGAGTGGCCCCCGCTCGCCACAACTAGAAAAAGCCCTTGCACAGAAACGAAGACCCAACACAGCAAAAATAAACAAAAATAAAAAAAATTTAAAAAGAAAGGCTGATCTGTGAAGGAGTTACGTGGAGTCACTCATGTTTGGTGAGGACGCAGTCTGATTCAGGAGATAGCTCTGTGCCCACAGATATTTTACTTAGATCATGATGGTAACAGGTAGGTGGCTGATTGATAGGTAGGTAGGTCGATATATAGATGGATAGTTAGACATTAATAACCACTACTCCCACCACTAATGGAGCACTTTTTTGAACTTTTTTTTTTTTGCGGTACGCGGGCCTCTCACTGTTGTGGCATCTCCCGTTGCGGAGCACAGGCTCCGGACGCGCAGGCTCAGCGGCCATGGCTCACGGGCCCAGCCGCTCCGCGGCGTGTGGGATCATTCCCGGACCGGGGCACGAACCCGCGTCCCCTGCATCGGCAGGCGGACTCCCAACAACTGCGCCACCAGGGAAGCCCCTAATGGAGCACTTTTTATGTACCAGATACTGTTTTACATCCATTACACCCAACTCACGGTTCATCTGAATAACAACTCTATCCGGTAACTTTTATTTCCATTGTACACATGCAAATGAAGCTTAAAGAGGTACAAGAACCTGATGAAAGCCAGGAAGGAAGGAGAGAGCCAGGATTGACACCCAGGAGTGTCTGACCGCCAGATCACATTCCAGAATGTTCCATCAGCAAGAGAGCTCCTAACTAGATGCTTCTGGGACTCAAATTTTTCATCGAGGGAGGACTATTTTACTGAGAAGAGAGAAAAATGCTTCTGAAGTTTCCTCCTGGAATTCACTGTTGTTAAGCCCAAATTCCACCTCTCAGAAAAGCTACCACAAACCTTCCCCAGGCAGAGCTCAGGATACCCATCTCAGGAAGGACATACAAGCTTGGTTTGGATTGTCTTTGTCTAGAACAGGGTTTCTCAACCTTTTTCCATTATCATCTCCTATGCAGAAATTTTTAATTAAATTAAAAATTTTAAATTAAATACAAAGAAATAGGATTTTGTCAGGTAGGCCTGAGCTCTGCAGGGCCACAAACTATCGTAATATCTAAGATTTTCCCATCTTCCAAGAACCAATTTTCACTCCCTTGGGGGCAACTTGCCCCATTTTGATTTCTTGGTCTAGAGGAAGCTAAACTGAGCAAAGAAGGTATAAAGCCCGTTTCGCCCTATGACTCAAAAGACAGAAATAAGATGGATGATGATCTATTCTTGGCTTGAACGAGGTTACGGCTCTGTCAGAATGAAAATAACCAGGCTAAAATTAAGCAGGAAAATATTCTTTCATTCAAATAGCCCTATATATTGCAAAAAAAAAAAGCAATAAATGTCTTTCCCTTTGGAAATTTGATGGGGCTAAAAGGAAATTACTTTCCTAGGGTCACACCACAGGTTAGGGCAATGGTTTGGAAGTGACTTCAATTTCCCTTCTGTGCATTTAGCCATTAAATGAAGTTTAAACCCTTACACCAGTATTTCTTAACTCTGGCTGTGTAC